ACTCTATTGGCTAATAGTTAATTAAGGGTATCAGCAGAGGAAGTGTCACGTTAATGAAATCCTGATAAATATGAATCTTTTTTTCTTAACTGGATAAAACACACGTTTACGTTTTCTTCGGAGTGTTTTGAAGCCAACACCACAGATTGTGATGCTCACGGTTGATTTGTGAAGGAATCAACTCCTAAAATTAAAGATGAAGACAAAGTTCATATTTTAGATTTAAACAAAAAGCTGCGCTGGAGGACATCCGTCCTCAGCAGTTTACACCTGAAGGTCCTGACTGATCACTTCTTCTACTGCAGACAGGGAATGACGATCAGCGAGCTGTGTTCCTCCATCGTGCTCGTGTTAAGCTGAACTTTAGTCGAGCTCAATGATCAACTATTAACCATCAACTATTTTGATTATTGATTAAACAGTTTAATTATTTTTTGACTAAAAATGTCTAATTTCAGTTTCCTAAATGTCAATGTTTTTGGGTTTCTTTCATGTCTTTGCAGACAGAACAAGACACCTGAGTTTGGAAGTCACACTGTCGTCACCTTTTTCTGACATTTCATCAACCAGACAAGTAAACTGTGGAGGAACTAATTAGCAGCCTAATCAACAACAGAGATGATCATTAGTTTCAGTCTTCAGTATGAAGTCCTTACTCTTCTTGCAGTAGAAGGTGAGCAGCGTCTGGGCCTGGTAGTGCCGGAACGCGTCCTGGAGCTGATGTGAGCATCGCAGGCTCAGAGTGTGAACCCTGGTCCTCCTCTCTCCTGTCTGGATGCTGTAAGACAGAACAAGCTGACACACAGGAGGGGAAGGAAGAGGACAAGAGTCACTGTTTCATCATCCATCTGTAAATGCTGTCTATAGACAACCCGTCCTACTAACGACCAGCTACCAGAGTGATCTACTGGACATTAAACCACAAACCCAGCCGCTTTCTGACCTGTATGGCGACGCCTCTCGTCTCGTCCAGCGCTCTGCTGTGGGCGAGCTCCACAGCCAGCGTTGTCCACCTGTCCAGGGTTGCCATGGTGACGTGTCCAGGGCTCGGCCCGGGGACAAACAGTCCGTAGCAGCCGGACACGCGCAAATCTGGCGAGACAGTCGCAAACAGTGGCATCGCAGGTATTTTGAACACTCTGACATCCCGCTAAACAAATCTCTTACCTTTGCTGACAAATATCCTGAGCTCGGCCCGGTAGCCGGTGTCCGTCTCTACGACCCTCTGCAGATCAGAGCTGAAGCGCTCTCGGTCCATCTCCCCCTGCAGCGGACATTTAAACATCAGGATCTGATCCGTACGTGGAGCATGTGTACTCACCAAAGTCGAGCTAAAGGTCACCACTAGTGAGACCGACTCCAGTCATCTGAACTTATGTTACTCCTCAAAGCTCAGCCACGTCCACGAGTCCTCCGGCAGCAGGCCTGTTTTATTGGTGGACGTACCTGGAGGTGGCCGTAGGTGTGCAGAGCTCCACCTGTTAGGTATGGAATGTGGCCGGGCCATGCTCCGCCCACGTCTTGCTGAGAGAGGACAAACAGATGAACGCCGCATCCCTGACGGACGCACTCCTTGGCCAATGAGACGGCTGGTTCTGATGGCTGAAAGATGGACTGAGAAGAACAAAAAGCAGGAAACCACAGTAAATACGTCATCATGAAATCTTCCTTACGCCTCTGTTCAACGTAAACACAACGGTCAGAGGTCTGAGGATGGGCTCACCACTTCAACTTCTACTCTCCTAAGAAGAAAACGGTTGTGACACCTACAAGAAGCAAAACCCACACCTGATGGAAACGTGGCCTTCCCGTCTAAGCAGTCGACCTGTGCAGCGACACACCGTTCACAGAACCGCCACTCTCCTCAAGCACACCAAGGACTCCGTGACACGGCATAAACTCTTCCACTGCGTCACGACAGCAACCCTTCAGCTTGAATTTCATTTGGAGGACAATGAAGAAGTCACAAGGAGCCCAATCAGACCAGCAGGGCACGTGGACAGTGACGAGTGTCTCTGTGTGGCCCGTTTCACAGGTCGGGTCATTTGTACTGAACGTTTTCATCCAGACTCCTCAGGATGTCACAGCAGAACACATGACACTGAAAACATAAAGAGGAATGCGTGGCTGCTTGTTTGGCTCATCGTGCATCTCCTACCATCTAAAAACACAGAACAGCACCAGGACACGTCAACAAAACAAGAAACACTTCTTTAGGGTTCTTCAGAATTTCCCAGCTGACACGACCAACACATGAAACGGATCCTTCATGACTTCATCTATGTTCTCAGACTTGGAGGTCATTAAAACTCTGCATCCTGTTTGGTTACCTCATTAAACATTAAAATGAAACCAGGTCAAGTGGTGGTTCTGTGCTGGAGCTACGTCGGCCTGACGACTCAGCGCCTGTGGACTTTGTGAACCCACGTTCTTCATGCTAATCTAAGCTCATCACCTTTCTCTGTGAGAACCCTGCTGTCTGGTCTCTGGGTCGGAGCCGCTGACCCACACATCACACATGTGCATCTTCAAGTGCTTTCACTGGACATCCAGAGATGTGACAGGAGTTAGGGTGAGCGAGCGGTGTATCACTGCACAAGCATTTAAATCAGGTGAAGTTTTTGCTTTTTAAAGCTGCAGCTTCAGAACTTCTTGATGGCACCTCGTCCGGCCCACAAACTGAGTTTTCTGGAGATGGTGTACCTTTGGCTTGCTGGTGCCAAAGAACCCTGAGGAGGAGTTTGTGAGTCCCGTCTCTATCAGGGGGGCAGAATGGAAGACCAGCAGCTTTCCAGGACAGCTCAGGCCCTAGTTTGAAGGATAATCAGGATTTCAGCCAAAGTCGTGCAGCCAGAATACACAAGCAGAACCCTCCAATAAATACAGCACAAGGCCCGGTCCGAGTGGACGCTCTGATGCCTCACCTGCAGAAGGGCCAGGCCTGCTCTGATGGGCAGCTCCATGGGAACGCCAGCGGAGTCCACACAGTCAGCAGTGAGCTGAGGGATGAGCTGCAGCACACTGCACAGAGACACACTCAGAACATTTAGGACCAGCGACAGCAACGAGAACAGAAACAACTTGAGCAAAGCAGCAGAAACAGTTTTGCTTTGTCACTTTTGTTTGCTCATTTCTGAGCACAGACAACATTCGTGTAGTTAGGACACTAAAAAGCTCCTTTATATGAACCAAAATATGTTCTCTTCCATTTATACTGCGAACATCACAAGCTTTATGCAGCAGCGCCTGACGTTCATCTGACAGAACTGGCTCTCCACATATTCAGTTTTTCATAAAAGCACAAAGAATATTACATCAGGAACACCTTCTTTTAATAGCTTCTGTGGTCTTAAAACGTACGAGACGGCATCGGCTACTAAACCATCACTTTGCTGATGAGTCGACTTTCAGAATCAAAATTCAGATTAACTTCCAAGTTATACGATAAAAAGCAGAAACTGAAGCACGTCAGAGTAAAGACATGGAGAAAGAACGGAGAAGCCTTTCTGTTGGAGTCTCGTTACATCCTGTTTGTTTGGAGGTCTTCTGTTTCCTGACGGTTCTACTACGAGGCAAGTTTGACTTAGCCAGGCTTCCTTAGAATAAGCTGGCTTGACAAAACCTAAACCTGCATTCAGAGACAACGATGAGCTACGACATCATGATCACGACGGTCCTTATTCACTTCATTTGCTATCCCAGGCTTTTCTCATTGGGGTCGAGGCTTGATCCCATATCAGGACGTTGGACCGGTGGTGTCCACCTGCAGGAGGGACATGCTGTCATCACGGACAGCTGTGACCAATGGGAGCATTCATCACAGTAAAAACCAGCGACAAACATGTTCCTCAGCAGATCTGACACTGTCCCACACTGAAGGACAAACGGGAATTATTTCAATTTTCAGAGGAGGTCCTAACGTACATCTCAACAGGTTTGCAGGTATACCACATTCCTTCAGAAGAGAATCTGCACCGCTCATAGAGACCAAGTCCAGGAAAGAATTAGTGGATGGTGACACTTCTTATAGCCGATTTAAAAGTCAAACTAAACAGAGCCTCCTCTAGAGCAGGCCAGCTGTGTTACCATGGTGATCTATCAGGTTAAAAGAAAGCCACCTTCGCTGACACTGAAAGCTCTGGCTCTAGGCTCAACATAATCCATGAATGTCACTTCGTATTGCAGCCGTCTACGCCGGCCAGCGTACAGATCCTGCAAAACACGCCTGACGAACCAGCCGCCATGTCTGCTACCTGTCAATGCTGCTTATGCCGTCTCTGAGGGACACCAGCAGCCCCTCCCTCACAGGAAGCTGCAGGTCTTGTGTCTCTGTGATGACCAGCATGTGTGGGCGGGACAGGGCGGGGCTCAGGTCGTACAGGTGGATCCTGCTGTCATACGTCATCAAACCAACACGGACGTCCGACCAGGAATCCCCGTGCTCCCTGCACAAACAGCACGAAAGCTTTAACATTTCAACCAGCATAAACCAGCACAAGAACACCACTGAGCACGCTGTGAAGGTATCTGTGGGTGCATGGACGAGATGAGCCTTCAATAATCCCTCAGTGTTACAGCAGCAAAGAAGTCGTGCAAACATTTATGGAATGTACACAAAAATAAAAAATAAACTAGCATGTATATAAGACTATATATTATTATGCCTCATGAAAATCAGAGACCCTGCATCTCAAAATATTAGAATATTTCCTAGGCTTCATCAACAGAAGGATTTACAATAAAGTCCAACTTCAGAATCTCTTTATTGTCATTGTACAAGAAAGCACAATGAAATTCGAGCTCTCGTGGGTGGTGCAAAACATCAGGAAACAAAAAGTGCACAAGACAAAGTATAAAACTTTATAAAAAAAGACTCGAGGGATGAAGAATAGAAAACAAGAATATAGAATAAAAAATATGAATATAAAATAAAAAAACAACCGAGGTATTGTGTTCAAGAAGAATGGCTGATGGGAAAATGTGGCGTTCAGGGCAACGACAGCTCTTGGGAAGAAACTGTTCTTCAGTCTGTTTGTCCTTGTCTTTATTGCCCTGAAACGCCTCCCTGAGGGTAGCAGTTAGAGGAGGTGGTGGCCGGGGTGTGAGGGGGTCCCTGATGGTGCAGAGGACGCTGTGAATCTCCTCCAGGGATGGAAGAGGACAGCCAGTCAGTCTCTGGGCAGTGTTCATGACCCTCTGCAGCTTCCAAAAACTATGTTCACTTCTACTCTGAATACTCAGCTGGAGTCCTCGACCATAAACTACTGCAGCAATGCGGCGTCGCAGGAAGGCGACCAGACCTTCAGCTCGTCTGGTTTTTGGGTGTTTCTCATCTTCCTCGTGTCAGTACCCCATATGGGCTATTAACGATTTGGTCCTAGTTTTGGCTCTGAGGGCAGCTGCAAAGTCCTGCTCGAAGAGGACATCTGCATCAGAATAAAAGCTTGTCAGCAGATGAAGCATGTAGTGGAAGACATGGGAGTGTGATCGCTGCAGACCTCTTCATACACTGGCACCAGCCTCCGTCCTTGTTCAACTCTCCCAACTTTGGTTTTTCTTGACAGACTCCTCAAGGCTGCCCCTTTTACCACCAGACCTTTGTCTTCCACTTCCACTAATATCCTTGGTTACAGCGCCGGCCAACAGCCAGCTTTCTCAGCACTGACCTTCTGTGGCTCCTCCTGGAGGATGACAGCCTCCCCATGACCGTGGTTACGTGCACTGAACAAGGCTGAGAGATACACGGTATTTGCACCGTTTAAAAAGCAATTTACTCAAACTCGACATGAAGTATTCTAATATTCTGAGATACAGGATTTCTGAGTTTGAATAGAATCTACTTTATTTATCCCAGACCTGGGAAAGTATTGTTTTTTCAGGAGCTATAAGCCATAATCATCAAAATGAAAATAAAAAAGGCTTTAGGTATGTCACTGCGTGTGATGAGTCAACAATATGTACAGCTTAGACCTTCCTGAATGGTGAGCGCCCGTTTACCTGTTCAGAGAGCTGAGCAACAGGTGTATTTGTTGGGTTACAAACTCCAGGTGTCCTCCTCGCAGCGCTGAGCCAGACACGTCTATGGCCAGAAGCAGCGCCGCAGCTTCACCCTGAGATCAAACACCACAGCGTTCACACACGGCAGCGTTCACGGCGTTTCTTCAGAAATGAGTCACTGTGAGAAAACGACTGAACGACGTCAGACGTTGGCGCCACATAAAAGCGAATTCAGTGGGACTGTAACGGGCCGAGATATTTCTATTCTGGACGCTGTGAGAAGGACAGGGTTAGATAACCTAGCATAAGACAACAACTGCAGAGAGCGACGTTTACCTTCTGAGAGCTGAGCATTTCATACGAGCCCATGCTGAGTTCTGGTCTCTTGTCTTTATCGACCCGAACCCCTTCCACCCCTTTGGTGGGCTGATAGTGTTGCCACAGCACTGAGACACAAGACAGGAGGGAAGAAGTGTTTCTACAGGGAAACCAATAAACCTTCAGAAACGACATCCAAGGTCAAGAAAACAGCTGAACAACCAAAGGCAAGTAAAAGTTCTGACCCAATCTGATCAGTCATCACCGCTCATGGAAACAATCCTTTAACTGCTTTGTTCATCCCGCCTCCGTTGTTACGATTCAAAGAAGCAGGATTTAGTGCTTAGAGCACCCTCAAGCTTTCCAAAGGCAGCTGATTTCATGTAAATGCTAGTTTGAGAGCATTCAGTCGGCGGCTCTCGGTCTGTTCAGGACATCAGGATCAAAGCTGCACAATCATTGGTTGTACTTGTGCAGCTGGGACTCTCATCCACGGACAAATAGAGATTTTCAAAGTCTGGCATCAACATGTCCCGCTCTTTGCAGCAGCACTCGTCCTGTGACCGCAGTCCTCCTGCCTCCATCCCAACATGTAAACAGGCCAGGTCAATATGGTGGTAACCGGGCCAGGCGGTCACTAATACAGCGAACTAAACAGCAGCTTAATTCCTGTGTTCAACCTCAACCACACTGAAAACAAACGTCTCAAATCATTCATGCAGAAATCGTGTTTTCTTTGGAAAGCAGCAGGGAGCTCGTGATCTTCTCCCCTCCAGCTGCTCTTCAGTCTCTTCATAGCAGGTGAAGAGAACAAAGTTGGCCCATAGAGCCACAGAAGCTGCACTGAAGGGGAAATAAACCGTGATTCTCGTGTGAGTGCTTGGTGTTGAGTCGTACCTTCACTGAGTTTGCCGCAGAAGGGGCAGCAAAACCTCTGACCACAGTCCTGCCAGGCCATGGCCGGGCACATGGAGGCGCCGCACCAACCACAGCCCACCACGCACTCCGTCTCTTTGCACAGCGGGAGGGGCTTCTGAAGGCCACAGACACACACAGTCAGCACATCCGTCCGTCTCTACGGCAGCTCTACGGGACAAACTGTTCAACAGTCTCGGTTTGTGGCTTTAATCTCATCTGCGTCCAGCCGCTGTTTTGTGCATCGCTGCTTTTTCAAAGACTTTAGTAGACTAGGGAATAGACGGAGCAGCTAATCACCAACCTCTCCTGCATTTTGTTTCACCAGCGGGGTGACCAGCGCCCCCAGTGGCAGGCGGCTGAGCAGCGCGGTCTGGCCTTCACAGGGAACGCAGTACGACGTGGAGCGGATGGCCGAAGGACTCGCGTTGCCTAAGACAGGGTTCAACAAGCGCAGCGTCAACATGAGCTGCAGGTTAAATTATGGCAAAACCCTGAACGGTGGACAGATGGGTTCGTGGGAATCCAGAGGTGAAACACACTGGATTCGTTTTATCTCTGGCAGAACTTTAAAGAGTCATAAACGTCGGTGCAGACAGGTCCTTTTCCATTTCAGTCTGATGGCATGACGCCTGCCAGTCGGTGGATATCTACCTTCAGCAAGCACAGATTGAGCCCAACACCTGTGAAGGACCTGTGGCATCACACACATGGTGGTCTGAGCCCTAAGAGTGCCACATGAACGGTTTCATATGACTGGTCTGTAGTTCTCAGACTGCCTGTGCATCCAATTTTCACTTTTGTTTTACTTTACTCTGTAATTACCTCCTGAAACAATCTGTAGTAAAGCAGTAAAAGCATTCACTGGGCACAGAATAAAAGCTGTATTTCCTTCATAATGTATGATTTAAAGTGCACAGAACACCCGTCACACACCACGTGACTGACAAATGTCTCAGAACGTCACATGATACATGAGCTTTACTTTGGATGTTTGTGGTCGTGCACCAGTAGTGATGCTGCTTTAAAGGCAGCAACTATAGCGCAGACAGAGAAGTGCTCAGTAAACACTAGTGAGGTTAAAGCCGAGAGAGGAAAACCAAGGAAGCATCTGAAGAAACTGAGAGGACCGATTACAGTCAAAACAGAAGAGGAACGACGGTCATGGCCTCCAGCATAAACTGTGGCTGCTGTCCCTGCCAGAAGTAGGAGACAAACGCTTCAATAAACCTTCCTAATGCTGCTGCCTGCACCGGTCGTACGAGACACGAGACAGGGTTGTGTTTACCTCTGTCCTCTACGACACAGGAAGTAGTGGCCAGAGGAGGAAGACGGGAAAAAGGCTCTGAGACGAAGACCTTGCCCTCCCACTCTGCCCTGTCCTCCGCCATCACCTTCACCTAAAGGGAACCAGAGAGACGCTCATCAGTCAGCAGGTAAGATTCAGAAGGAGGCAGGATACAGCGTTTACCTTCACGTCATCGGTGTGTCTGTGTGTAAACATGTAAACAAACACTGAACACGTATGAACATGTGACCATGCAGAACATCGTTTATCTCACTGCACAGCCCATTTCCTTCAGAGGTTCTGAGAGTTAAGATAATCTACATATCACCTCAGGGACATGGACAGGAACGGCTACTTGCTGCACTAGCCTCTGATCGTTTTGCTGGTTTCCTCAGACGTGTGCTGTTCAGAGCAGCGGCTGCTAATGCGACACGCTGAGCTGCTGCCAGTCATCAGGAGTAACAGATTACATGGAACTGTGTTGGGAAACCTAAAGCCACCCTCCTGACTTCACTCTTAAGGCTAAAACCCTGAAAAAGCTGCGCAAGAAACAGTCCTCCATCGTCAGAGGAGCTGCAGGAAGCTGAACAAGAAATAAGGATGAAAGCACTTACAACGCTGGGCAGGAGCTCTGGGTCCAGGCCATAGCGGGACTCGGAGCTGGGAGACTGCAGACAGAAATACAGCAGCTCATTGTCATGCAAACACAGCCAGGTGCCGAGGAGAAAATCAACCAGCACGATTTGGGTTTTCAGGCAAAAACAACCATGTCTGCTTCTTCCTCCTTCAGTGTGCGGAGCAGCTGTCAGTCGTAGAGCAGGTTAAACACAAAGGTCACCTCATTCATTGTGATGAATTGACTGAAAAATGAACATATGTGCCTATTTCATATCAAAACTTTGCCCACCTGCGGCGTGACGCTGCTGTCTCGTGCAGGTGCACTGGGGACAGATTCATTTACGGCTCCTGAGGAGACAAAGAAGAATACAGATGACGGACATCCTGAATGAGGACGCTGACATGTGAGGCTCTGGTCATCAGGCTGCTCCCAGATGATTAGTGTCTTACTGCTCAGTGCTGGTTCCTTCGGATTTTACTGAGAAGGCCAATGACTTTTAAACAACCAGCTCCTGTGTGCGCATGTCCTGTGAGTAAACCCACCTGTGGAGCGCGCTGCCAGGGCCCACTGAGGCTGCTGCTGCTGCTGCTGCTGCTGCTGGATGATGGGAGAGGTGGGGGAGGCAAGATCATGAGTATATCCACCAGAAGACCCCATGTGCGCCCCCTCAAGTGCAGGCTGAGCTACACACTGTGGGCTCTGGGGTTCACATTGTCCAAATAACGGAGGGTAAAGAGGTGGATGGTTCTGATGAGGTGACTGGGGTCCATTCAGTAAACCCTGGGGCATGTATGGAGGCTGGAACGGGGCAGATACTGCCTGATAAGGGCTGCCAGGGGAGTAAAGTGACATTTGACGGGGTCTGCAAGGCTGCATCGGTTGGCTTCCTCTGAGGGGAAGAGAACACGGAGGTAAATTCTTTCCTTGGCTTGCAGCTGGAATCGTGGATGAAACATCAGGAATGATCCGCTGCGCGCTCTGGTCAGGGCTGTGGGCGTACTGCGGGCCCTGGGGAGCGCCGTTTCTGGACGGACAGGGAGTGAGGTCCCCCTGGGGGTCCGGGTGGGACGCCTGCGGGTGGTTGTAGCAGGGGGTCTGGTCAGAAGGAGAGCCCAGGTTGAAATGCTGAAAGCTGGGCAGGGGGTTGCACAGGGGTCCTGGAGGGGCAGCGGGGGACCAGCCGTTCTGGCCCGCCCACGGCTGGCGGGGTGTCTGGCTCTGATTGGGTGTTGGGAAGTCCATCATCCTCCATACCCGTCCCTGATAGGTGCGTTTCTACAAGAAGGCGGGACCTAACGGCACAACAAAACAGAGAGATACAGATATATAAACACCAGGGTCGTGATGTGCGTCTGTCCTCTGACACTCACGGTTATAACCACAGCGGACAGACACCTGCACACAACAAACAGCTAATTATATTATGATAATTATCTCAATAACGCCTCATCTTGTGACTTATCAGGTCGCTGCCTCACCATCAGCAGGACACCCAAACCATGGATATGTATAATAAAGGCTAACCTCATTACACACATCTATGACCCAAAGCAGTCGGTCTGAGCCATTCAAGATCAACATCAGTATCCCTCCTAATGAGCTTGGCCTTTTATTTTGTAGTTACCGCTCGCTAGCTAACGTTAGCCTCCCTCCCACCACTGTATGCGGCCACAACACAGGACGAGGAGTTCAGACAGCCGGCAGCCACTGACTCCAGAAAACAGACATAGTGGAGAACAGAGCTCAGTCCGCCTCACACATCCTCACGTCCTTTGATGAAACACGAGCCCCGGTACCTCTGGACATCAGCCGACACAGCAGGCGGCACTTGTTCGTCAATGCTGCGGACGTTCGCGTCTCCATTGCCACGAAACACTTCACGTTATATTAAAGTAAATCTAATAATCCATGACGAGGAAATATAACATCACTAAATTGAGGATTTTAGCTGCCGACAGTGTCCGTTACCTCGGGGTTTACTGCAAAATTAGCATCAAAGCTAGCAGGAATCACGACGACACGTTCCGGTACTTTCTTTCAAAGTAAAAGCCTGTGGGCAAGAAGCGTGTTCTGTCCCCCCTCCACTGTTTTTGCTGATTTCACCAACATTCATCACACACCTGCATATGTATGTATGTATCTACGTATTACTCATTTAGATGGATTGTTGAAAGAAGGAAGTCGAACTGAGCCATGTTGTTCTGTTTTTGTGAAGCTGACTTTTCAGACAGATCCTTTTTTCACATTCTTTGTTTTCAGTCCATAAAGATGAACTGACAGAGTGTATTGTGTAGGGTGGCCATCGTCTCTGCTGCTGTTTTTAACTGGTTCCAGTCTTATTTATGATGAACTCCTCTGAGGTTGAATAATGGTTCATACAAAAGCTGTAAAATGAAATATAGTGTTCCTCAAGGTTTATTTTTCAGTCCTACACTTTTTAACCTTCAGGCGGCGTCACTTGGAAACCTTATCAGGAGCGTTGTGTCAGTTTCCACCTATGCTGATGACACGCTGCTTTACTGCGCTTTAATAACCTGCACCACTGACTGCTGCAATGCTTTGCTATTCGGTGTCCCCAGAACAACAGATCTCCACTTTAACTGCTTCGGAACTATGCCACACATTTAGAAGACTAGAACACACATCATGCCAGTTTTAAGGACCTTCTATTGGTTGACAAAACTCTAAGTGGTTCTATTTATTTATCGCAGGTCTTCTGGTAGCGGCCTTTCAATTCTACACGCAGTGAGAACACAAACCCCACAGTATCACGGTCCATGTGCCAGGCTTGTCAAACTGTCTTTCTATTGCTTCTGTTCTGTAAAGCACCTTGTGCTTCATTTCATTTATGTGAAAAATGCTGCACAAATGAAGTCTAATTGATCTTGGATGAATGGACACATGTTGAAAGCTTCTTTGACAAACGTGGACACTGCAGAGGGGACCTATATCTGCAGGGGCCTCCATCGTATGGGCCAGTCTGTTCCCTTTAGACGGGCTTTGAAGGGACTCACGATGCTGTTGAACAGCCATCAATTGCCCCTTGAAGCATGGGGAGATTCTTCCAGAGTTGTAGATAACTCCAAAATCCATCTACTCAGCCTCAGCCTTCAAACCTTTTTCCATGACAGAGCTATGAGTCTTTTGGCCAATAACAAGCTTCTCTCCAAAGAATGTGTTGCTTCCTTCTAGTGACAGGCAGCTGGCGAGAGGACCAGTATGAAAACAGGCAGCATCACCTGAACACTCTCACTGCTGCCCACAACGCTTCTACTTTTGTACCACTGTTGTATTAAACACTCTTTTCTGGGTCCATTCGCCCGTTGTGCTGCAGGTTTGTCTGGTTTGTGATTGTTCTTTGGTGCACGGCTGTTCAGATTTCTGGATGTTGGTGTCTTCATTTAAGTCCTCCATCCAAATGTGAGGCCATTTATAGATCACATCAAGCATTCGTTATCCAGAAGACTATATATCTTGGACACTATCCATCATCACCTCTACTGTTGACCAGAGGGTGCTCATGATGACTCACTGTGTTGTGCTCTAGTGAAGTGTCTCAGCTGTAGATGTCTGAAGATGTATATACGGGCTACTCTATATTTATGTGCTACTTGTACAAATCACATCATGTATTTACTGACTGGATGTGGAGCAAACCTCCAACTTCTTCCACCACCGCCTACAGACTCATACGTACAAAGACATAATGAGAGTAGTGTACTGCCTGCCTCAACACCACTCATCTCTAAGTTCACAAGTATATCCAAAGCTGAAATATTATCCCGCCACTTTATTTCTGGTAGATGGTTATACAAGGTAAAACAAAGCACCACATACCAGTAAACAAACAGAGCAACCAAATCCTGTGCACCAAACAAGTTGGTCAATCTTAAAAATGTGCCATCAGCAGGATCCGTATAACGCCCTCAGCATCAGCTGACAGTATGTACAAACCATCTCTGCAAAATACAACTAAAATAACAAAGAAAGACAATCATGAGAAGGAAGAGCAGGAACCAAGACCAGCTGCAGTCCATCCACCAAAACGTCCCACCGTCCTCTTCCTGGCCGTCCCAATGGAAATGCTGCCAATGTTGTGGCAGAGACGGACACTGATGAGGAGATCCGAGACCAACAGTGACCGGACACGATGAGGGAAAAGCACACAGAAGTGGCCAAAGCTGCTGGAAACGTTCCACTTGACCGGGCGTCTTAAGACTTCTTGGACGATTTGCGGGAGTGACCACTTTGTCTTTTCAGGGCAGTGATCCTGTTTCTGACGTAGTCCTTCACACCTTTCCACGAACGGGTCCTCAGCGCTTTGGGCTCGGCCTCCAGACACTGGATGCAGTCGTCTTTCTGAGGCACCTTGTGTCCTTGAATGAAACGCATCATGTGTCTTTCCACCGCTCGAACCTCTGCTTCCTCCCACTTATGTTTGGTTTTGCAGTGGGAGTCTAAGAGGGGAGAAGAGAAATGAATCAGAATGAACTCAAGTCAGCTTCTGCCGTCAGGGACAAAAACACAGCCACAAGTCAGTCTCTGGTTTCACTTTGGTCCAATCTGGCATCAAGTGCAGCTCGAACTCTTCCTCGACTTGCACAAATGTTCAGTGTTCAAAGCTAAAAGCACATGTATCACAGAAACCCTTAGATCATGAGCTTGGACAGTAAAAACACCGTCAAAGAAGAAGTCCTGAGGTTTTACCAGCTCAGTGGACTTCTATTTAGCATCTGTTCAAGCTGGAGCTTCCAGTTCTTACATAATGCTGCTCAGCTTCATGACACGCTGCATAGATTGTGTGTTGTGAGTGAACCTGGGACGATTTGCCCACAGCGCTCTGAATACGAGCGTTTATATGGTTTTGTGTTCACATGCTGTAAATAATTATTCTCATTATCTTACACGGTGTGGTATTTAATGGTGGCTTGTTCAAAGTATAGAACAGAAGTGTGCCGGATCAGTTAGCAGCGTTAGCGTGACCATCTGTACGACGGCCATGCCTTCCTGAGACACAGCAGACCTTCACATTTCCAGGTGTTTTCTATGTGACATGAGCTTGTGCGACTGCCAGACTCAGTCACAAACAGAAGCAGCCTTCGTTACCTTGTTTCCCTGATGCGACACATCTGGAAGGCGTGGCTGCGGTGGCGCTCGTCGCTGCTCCACACGCTGGTGGACGATAAAGCTCTGCTGCTACGCTGCTGCCTGCACTGGAGCTCCCGCTGTGATCCCAGGACGCTGCTCGCCGTCTTCCTGCAGGTCGTGGTCTCGCTGTGTTGGAAACAAACTACAAATGAGTGCCTCTGTGATGGCATGTCCCCGTGAGCCACATTCACGTGTTCACAGCTACGTGGTCGTGGAGCTGCACCTGTTTCATCAGTCCAACAGCACCACCATGTCTGTGGAACATTCAGCTGCATGTTTAGAGCTGTGCTACGAGTAATTAAACTATTCGATATCAGCTGGTGTTGAAGTGCAATGAAAACCCTTTCATCTATGAACCCCAAACCAAGCTGGTGGTTCTCCCTAGAAAACCTTCTGACGCTTCTTCACATCATCGTGTGTGATTTCTAGATCAGTCAGGAAAACAAACCACAGCGCATTTTAACATTTGAGATGATGAAAATGACTTTATTCTAAATGTGCCAATAAAAAAACGGATGTAGGTTCAGTAAAAAAGAAAGACTATGAAAAATTCTGCACTCTTCGGCACGACTGGTCAGCGGTGAGTGACTCAGCTGAGCGCCAAAACAAACGGGATGTTTCTGCTGAACTGGGCCGAGCTGCAGGCGGTGCGAATGCAGACCGAGTTCAAATGTATGTGTAGCACAGACACTGTCAGCACTCCAACCTTTGACATGCTACAGATTCTATAGCATGTCTACATGCTGATTCCAGGTTGGGTTTCTTCATTTTTTAAAATAAATAATCAACAACTGTAACTTTGGGTTTTTCTGTTTAGCTGTTATTAATAAAGGCCATAAATCAACTGTTTGGCCTCAGCAGACTTCGTAAAGAGCAGCTGTACTCCTGTGCACTACAGTGAAGCATAATATATGCATATTATACCATATATATATATATGTATATATAATGAACTTGTCTCCTCCCTGCTCTGTGTAATCACAGCCTGCGGTTCAGCCCAACAGTCCCTAAGCTGTACATATATACATATATAGGACCGGGTCTTCAGACAGCGGTTTACACGTGTAGGTAGCAGTGATTTACAGTGCAGGCGGTGACAGCAGGTCGTTCATGTGGACTAGTTCAGGTGTCGATTCTCCACCACTAACTCTGCTGAGAACGGTGACAGCCGACAGGCACCAAACTTTATGACAGAGTTTGGAAACCCGGTCATGGTGCTTTGGTTCTGTCGTATAACTCAAACAGAGACGCTGCCCACACACTGAGTTAACGTCATAATGGAACAACCGTGTGTCTCTTTAGCCCGACTGCTTTTCAAATTCACATTGAGTTCTACATGCTGCCATTCAGGCCAATGAATTACCCACAAACCAACAGTGATTACCTCCAACCTCCATTTCAGCATCGTCGAGCATCGAGTCGCTGTGCTGTCGCAGGACCTGGACTTGATTATTCGGGCCTAAAATCTGGTGGGCCTCGTTGTCATCCAGGGTGATCAGCTGCAGCATTGTTGCGAAATGCTTCCGGATCTTCCTCGATGTCAGTGCTTTGGGGTTCTGGGCTCCACAGTGTTTGACAAACCTCTGGATCATCTCTGTGCCCTTGTAGGCAGACAGAACGCTCGGCCGGCCAAAGAGGAAGGGGTTCTTGTTGGGGACGCCACAGGCCTCGCGGACGTTAACGAGGAGCTCCAGTGCTGAGACAAACGAGGGCTTTAGCAGCACAGGGACCATCCTCCCACACTGACCTCGTACGTCAACTCTCACGAAGAACCTGCACATGGTTCTCTCCAAGTCCGACACGGATACGTCCATGTCGTCCAGCACGTCTGACTTCTTGCGGGACATGAAGGCTGTTAGTGGGATTGATGAAACCTCTCGAGGCTTCCTCCTGTTGAAAATGATAATCCGAGTGAGAACGACTCTGGCCAGAGCTGCGTAGCTTTCTGCTGAAGGGCTTTCTCTGAGCTTCTGCTCGGCAGCGTGATGACTGTTCTCAAGGTGGAAATGCAGGCGCTTCACGTCTTGAACAAATGGAACCTGCTTTTCTGAGTGCAGTTTAGTTTCTTTGAGAGTTGTTAAGGCACCAGAGGAAATGAGCTTGTTCCATTTCTTCTGGTAGACAGAGAGGAAGTTCTTAGCGGACTCTGCCAGCTTTGCATCGCCGCTCTTCACTGCGTTGGCCTCCACGATGCTGCACGTCTTCTGGAGGTTGTAGCCCAGCTTGAGAGCGAGCGACGGCGTGCTGTAGGTCTTGCGCTCCGAGTCGTAGCCGGCCAGGACGTTCACCGCAGACACCACATGACGGAAGTTTGAGGGGTAAAAGAAGTCCTCCAAGCTCTGCATGGGGGTTATTTTCTGAGCCTCGAGCACAAGCCTCCCCACCTGACGAAGGTTCTGCCTGATGTAATGATGCTTCTGAACATCACGGCCGTACTGATCGAACATCTGCTCGGCGTACTGCCGGATGATCCTGTCGCCAATGACGGCCTGCGTCACTTCGTCGTACACCATCTCGCCGATGATGTTCTTCACGCTGTCGCTAATGCCCAGGTCTTCACAGTTCACAGTCTGAAGCATGCAGCGTGATGCGACACGCCTTCTACTGATGTCGCACTCATCGGCGTTTTTCTCTTTCTCCGGGCACTTCTTCATGTGTCTGGACAAGGCCTTCTTCACATAAAGACCCTGACAGTAAAGGCAGTGGAGAAAGTCTTGGGCTTGGGCCGTTCGTTTTGGTCTTTTTCGTACGACCAGTTGTCCATCTCCAGTTTTCAGAACATTTTTATTGTGTTTAAAGTTTCCCTGATTTATTAGCCTGCAGTGTATCTTCCGTCTTTCTCTGGAGTGTTTGGGAAACTGGAAGGCAGCCGCGACCTCAGCTCTGTCGCTGTGAAGCCTCTCCAGGTGGCGCGACATCTTCAGCACTGGCTTGGAGCAGAACAAACAGTAATTCCTCTTGTCGTAGACGCGCTGGGCTTTTGAACTTGAAACTGGCAGCACCAGAGTTTCTGAAAGCTTCTTCCGATTATTTTCACGTGGCTTCTTTGGAGGTGTGACACTTTCTTCCTTCGACACAGAACTTTCTGATTCACAGCCTTCTTCTTCTGGGAGAGGAGGTCTCTGGCCTGTGGGGGTCGAGGGACTGCCGTGGCTGATCTCATCGGAGGAGTAGTCCTTGGTCTTGGTCTTGGACGGGCGATCAGAGACGTCGGCATCACTGTCAGGTAAGTAATCCGGATCGCTGTCATCCCATGACTCGGCTGAAGCATTGTCCTCCTTCTGCAAAAGTAACACGGACTGGATTAAAACAAGCTCACCAGCAACGTCTGACAGAGCGCTGCTGAGTTCTGTTGAATCCACTGACTGTGAACCTGACTCATCGCTTCAGCTTCAGTATTATTGGTATTATGGAGTATTATTATGACCGTCTGATGCTGACTCATGTCTACAGAGCACACCACGTGACCGCAACATATAAATGCAGCAAAATGGAAAATCAGAGCCCCAACATTACCAACTAACGTTCACAGTCATAATATCTACTGATGGGGACAGTTAATGGAAACACACAAAGAGCAGGTAACTACCGCTGACTCTGCTGCTGACATCACATCCTCTGGCGAATCACAGGTCTCGTTTTCCTCCTCATAGAAAGAAGGGGATGAAGGATGTGACTGTAAAACCAAACAGCAAAAAAGAAAGGACATCTATCACCGTCCTGATCAGTACCAGCAAAAGGAGTTCCTGACTTTAAGCAGCTACCTTTCCTTGGTGAGCATCGCTGGTTTTCATCTGTTCACATCGAGATGAATCATCCACGGATGGAGACGACTACCAGAGGAAAAGGGGACGTATGTTATAATCTGATTTACCTGTTCACTGTAAATCCCACTGCATGAAGACACGAAACCCACCTGAGCAGCCGTGTGGGGAGAGTGTCCGTCCCTGCTGTCCTCTGGAGGCAACGATTCCAGCTGAACGCAGGACATAAGGTCACATCAGTCTCAGTAACAGGCATCACAACATTAAAGCAGTTCTGCTAACGGCTGTCTGCACTAAATGACGCTGACACACTTACAATTTTATCCATCTCTGCCAGCTGTTTGAGGAGCTGTGAGCGCTGGTGTAAAAGGACCGAACGCCGTCTGTCATTGCTCATCTGAAGGAGGACAAACACAGGTAAACATAAAGGTATGGACGCTCCACAGCCACACAGCCTCTGCAGGAGCAAACAGCCATGTAGCATGAATAGCCTGATCACAGACGTGGCAAGAAAAGCTTCCTCTGCAGTGAGGGAGGCTGTTTGCTGTGGATCTCCTCACCAGTGGAAGAACATTCCCGTCCTGCAGTGGCTCTTTGTCAGGATGAGCAGCTGGCACAGACTCGCTTACGCCTCCTGAGGGAAACAGACGAGCAGGTTGAAGCACAAGGACAAGCAGTGCTGTGCAGCATCGTTACTGCAACACGCATTCAAACATATTAATTAACCTGCAGTGTCTTAAAATGTCACTTCTCTCTTCCTAATGACGTGTTGCCGTTTCTCTAAAAGACCTTCTTGTGACTTGTGCCGTCATCTTCTGCCCATGTGGTGGCGACACCTTCCATGGCGCTCTTCTACGGTATTCTGACTTCATCTGAACATGTGGGCTTCACGTCTAACTCAGCAGCCTCGTCATGACGCTAATCTCACCAGCTGGTACGAACTGAAAATAAAACCTTACAGCTCAGAAGTCAGACTGATGCCATTCACCAATAGGTGATGTAATCCAGGTTTTAACCATTGCTGGGAGCTGAAGCTCAGCCTGCTGCTTGTAGGAGTCTTTCCTCTGAGTTTATCTACATCCCTGCAGCATCAGACAGCAGCAGGATCCACATGAGGAGGGAGAGTTGTGCGCGTTTACGTGACAAACAACAGAAGCAACTTGACCGATTGCTAGTGATAAATGATCCCCAGAATGGAGACGTGATCAGTCGGATTAAAAGACACATGAATCAGTGTGCTTTTCTGCATATCAGACAGGTGAGGTCAGGGCTGCAGGTGTATCATTTGTCAGAGCGACCGTCCTCAGGTTTGGTCAGAGCTGCATCACACCTCCACGTTTATATAATAGTCTGTAAAGTAGATTATGGTCTGCGTTCTCCTCTTCAGGCCTGCACTGACATTTCTTCAGCTAATCCACACCAGCTCAGCTGCCTTCGTTTGACCTCTCAGCAGGAGCTACATGGCTGGAAACCTTCACACACACTTGACAAAGAGGGCAGAGTAACAGACAGACCTTACAAGCACAGCTTACCCCTACAATGGGAGGAAGGCATCCACTGAGGCTGCTCCTGAGAAGAGGATGAGGCAAAGCTTTGAGTGTCACCAGAAGCATCAGCCGACTCCACATTTCTCCTTCAAAAGCAGCTCGAGATGTACTTACATGCTGCCCACACGACGGCAGACTGACGGTCAGATCCTGAAGTCCACTCGGTAGGCCTTGGCTGGTCAGTGGGGTCTGAAATGACACCTGGTGCTGTGACAGAGGTGGTAGATGCTGGGCCCTGCAGGGCTCTGGTCTTTGGTCTGGTTGGGGATGAGATGGCGTGGGCATGTTCTTTCCTTGGTTTGCAGTCATCAGTATTGATGAGGTGTGAGGGCCTTGCTGAGCAAAGGCCGTCATGTGAGACGCACCCGGGACAGAAGTGTTGCTGAACAGCGCTGTGGATGATGAAACGCCGCTAATGTGAGGAGCTCTGTACAGGGGAGTGTGATGAAGGCTGTTTCTGGAGGACAAGGTGCTCAGGTCGCTCATACAGCTCTGGCTGGATGCCTGCAGGTGGTTATAGGAGGGTCTCTGACCGGAGGCCATGCCCAGGCTAAGCTGCTGAGAGCTGGTGAGCGGGTTGATGAGGCCTTGAGAGGAAGCTGCTGACCAGCCATTCTGGCCTGCCCACGCCTGACAGGGTATGTGGCTCTTGTTTGCAGTCGGGTTGTCCATCATTCTCCATAACCATCAAAGTGTGCTGTGTGGAGTCGTTTTTGTCTCCTCAGAACAGGTCCTAGAGGAGCAAAACAACACACAAGTCATCATCAGAGTCACAATGTAATGTATGTCTCCTACAAGCCACCTTCATGCCCTTAAACTGGGAGCAACATGACATGTGGTGTAGAAACTGCTCATGAACAGTCCTGACTGAAGCAACGGACGACATGCAGCTTTAAGGGGTCTGATACATGGGCATGCAGGATATAAAAAGGGCAGAAGACGCTGTAAAATATCACAATCACATCAGTAAAAGCCTGCATGTTGGCAGCACCAAACAATAACGCAGATGTTTGCTCTCAGACGTGGAAACGGCAGTCAGGTTCTACTCCAGATGTGAACGTAGGGTTCTGTTTGTTAAAACTGGAAGTGAAGGTCATTTTTAAGTTAATGTGACGTGTTCCTAATTGAAGGAAACGATCTTTTCACAACATCTATCACCTGCATGAGGCACACGGTCTCCTCGTTTACTGACAGGTTCTTTGCTGTCTGTTGGAGTTTTCACATCTCACATCTGGGATACTAACGAGAGTCCAGACCAGCTGGATGTCCCACAATCATCTGGCAGGCAAACATCTCAACAGGAAAGGACAGAATCGCACCGAGAAATTATCCACTTTTAAATCTGAGGAAATTCAAATTTGCCGACCGAACATGAAAACACCACAAAAAATACACTGAGTGGAGGGAGGCTGTAAGCATGTGATAAACAGCGTGATTAGGTTCATTTGTCTGCTCTGGATGTAGGTATAGGTCTGATAAAGAAGAAACCTGGTACCGATGTGAGAAATACCCAGAGCAAAGTGTTCTCAGTGGTTGCTCACTAAACCCTGCTCAGACTGCTCAGTGTGGAAGTGTCAGCACATTTATGTTGTCGTCAATCTTTTCCACGCAGACATTTCACATTACACTGCATTCTTCCTGCTTCCTTTCTCTTCTGGTTAGAAGCTGACCTGCAGCTTGTTGTCTTGGTTCTTGTAACTGGCAGCAACGACAATAAAGTTTAATCTAATCTGGGGGAAAGTACCAAAAAAAATATGCTCTCATTTCTTGTACAAAACCTACACACATAGATTGTATTACTGAACATGTATAAACGAGGCTGTGCACGCTGGTTGACCTCACTGTGAACAGTTTTTTAGGATACCTTCTATCAACCAAAGAGCAGTCCGTTTGACAACAGCCACTCACACAGCTGAAGCTTTAGCTTGCAGCTAGAATACTGGATGTTTTCAGGAGTTTTGATCAGCTGACCGCTGACGCTCCATCACACAGCTCAGTCATTCACAGGGTCTTTAAACACTGCTGACTGCATCAGACTGCCATGCACAGTAATTAAACACAGATACGTGCAGAAGAAAATTAACCATTGTGTTTAAATATTTGCAAATCCGCAAAAATCGACAATATGCAACTAGCTTAACAGCGCGGTGTCCCACTCGCTCGGCTCTTTAGCTAGCTAGCTACACTGACTAGCTGTTAGCTCGCTC